ATATATATATATCTATCTAGTTTCAATAATATTATAATTAACAAATTATAATCTGATTTTTATATTGTTTTGTTTTTAATATTATATTAATAAAATGTATAATACAAATTACTTAATTATTATACAAAAAGTGAATTAGTTTTAAATTTTATTAGAATATTTCCTTATAATTAAAAAAATAAAAAATATATAAATTGATAGTTTATTAGCTACTTTATAACATTACATATTTTTTTTGACTGGGGATTTCTAATTATTGAGTTGATAGCTCTTAAAAATTAAGAATTTATAAGTTTATATATTAGCTTGAAAATTTTTGATCATATATTTGCTATAATAATTATCATAAAGTGCTAAATCCGAGTACTTTAACACTATATAGTAAATGATTTACACAATACGAAAAATATTAGAATGCAAGAAATCATCAATTATATATTTTAATTGGTTCAAGTTTTAATATAATTCTTAAATAATTAAATTATTTGAAAATTTAATAATAATGTATAATACCTGTCTTATCACAATTGAAAACATCTTCTAGTTTATTATTTTGAATTAATTAAGAGAGGGGGTCAACGATGATTATATAAGCAGTATTGTATAATACATGTATATGAAATCACCTGATAAAAGACACTTCCCTAATATAAGTTTTCATGTTCACTATTTAAGTTGGCCAGAGATGCACTATTGGCTTTATCTAATCAGTTATATTTTTGAATATGAAATCTTTTTTTAAAACTTGCAAGTTATCTATTCGATGCTTTAAAATTATTACATGTATTATTAATATTAAAAGCAATAGAAAAATTACATGCTTTTTGTTATATTTTCAAATCTATGCAATATTGTATGTAAAACTCTATGCGGCATTATATTTTCAATTATATTTTAAGTCTTATGCAGTCAAATTCAAACTTCTATTTTTCGCCCGTTTGCTATTTTTCGGTCAATTATATCTTAGATTCTTTCTGAAACAATGTCCACAATTATATTTTAAATTCTCTCTGAATCCATGTCCTTAATTATATCTTAAATTATCTCTTAAACAATGTCTTTAAATTATATCTTACGCTCTCCCTTAAACAAACGCCCTTAATTGTATTTCGCGTTCTCTCTTAAACAATGATTTCTATTATACTGTTTTCTTCAAATCGCGTCTTTTTTTGTAAATACTATTACCTCTTTCGCAATCTCACATAATTCGTTGAATGATGTCTGTAGATATCAGCACAGACCTTGGAAACTAACATACAACCCACAACAATACGATCGGTATGATCAGATTTACATGTACGTATGATTCGCAATTTTATTAGTCAAGTAACCATTACGTCACACATGCAGTATTTTGCACCTCTGGAATGTGTGCCAGGTTTGTGCCGCAGCAATAAAATTACCCAAAAGTCGATATATAGTTAGGGTTAGGGTTAGAGTGGAGGTCAAGGTTATATGTAAAATTGCCTCACCGACATTTTTTATTAGTACTCCAAGTTAGATTTGAACATCCATTTCCCGTATTTTTCGCATTTTTCATTTTTTTGCGTCAGATTGTTTTGCCGGCTGAGCAAAAATTCGCACATCCTTATTGGTCTGTGCTACTAGTAAATCGCATTCTTATTGGACTGCGGCACGAACCTGGCACACATTCCAGATGTGCCAGTATTTGATATTTGTACGTATACGTACAATGTGAATACGTAGTTAAGCATTATTGATTACCTCCATCGCTTATTTTCATCACGAACGAGTTGCTAAACCAGTGCTGATAAATGAGACTAAACAAGTTCTGATAAGTGCTAATAAAACTTACCCGCCCCATCCAATATTGCGTGCGAAATACGAAAAAATAGTGATCTCGAGGTCAGATTCACTTGACAAATACTGGTTTTTAAATACTAGCTATAATTAGTTTCTTTCTACTTTCTTCCAGAGTTGCATCGTTAACATCTTCGGGTAGATGGCTTCTAACCTCACCTCTCTATTTATTGAGATCTGGCAGTACGACTAGATATTTTCGATAGTTGCTGGGATTTTCGGTATTCAATTCTTCGATAAATTTTTTCAAAATACATGAAAGTGTACTTTATAATGATTCCTAAACGAGAGTTTGTTGGTTGAAAACTCAGTTGTATGATAATAGTAATTTCCTAATTGACAGTTGTATGATAATAGGAATTTCCTAAATACGTAATAGTTTTATGAGTTGTATGGCAATTTCCTAAATGTGAATTGTTTGGCTGAAAAATCACTAAGAAAGAAATTATTTCTGAGGTATTATTACATTTACATTATGATAATTAATAGGCTTTTGTCCGACACAACCTTTAATAAATAATAATATCAGTTAAATCCAATATAAAAAGAGATCACTCATCGCCTCATAAGTAATTCATACACATATTCATATCATTCAAAGCTAAGATGAAGCTCCAATCCATGATTTTATTTCTGACTTTCGTAATTTACGCTCAAGCGTGCACTTTTTGTAAGACCATGCACATTCGATCAATTTGTTAATGTATAAATATAATTCATCTCACTTTCTTTAGATTACATACAAGGTATCTCTTTTCGGAAAATTGATTATACGGGAGGATGTGGGTGTTTTAGTTTTGACCCGACCAAGCCTCCTGTAAGTCACGGTCAAATTTGGTTCAATGATTTTCGTGCTTGCTGTGCTTGTTACCGTCTTTACTCTGACCCCGACTGCAGTGGAAACGTAGTTTTTAAAAGTTGTGATGACATCTCTCCCCCGCCTGATAAAGAATTCTTATCAGTCGGATTATTGCCGTATGAATAATCCACCATTAAATGTAAAAAAATTAATGTAACAATCACGGTTTCTTTTTTAAACTAAATAGCCAAACTTATAATAAAAGCAAGTCATGCAACTATGTGATACTTTCTAATAAAAAAAGCTCGGGTATGGGCGAAAATATTATTTTCAATTACATGTCCGTTATAGCGGATCCGTTGAGTATGGCAGACACAGAGGAGGTCCGTTATAATATGTGCAATTTGTAAATATCATACATAGCAAAAGAAATATATATTATTGAAAGTTATAATAAAAGATACTTTTGCATCTATGAAGAACAATGTATTTATCAGTTTAATCAAGAAGAATAATAGAATAATTGTAGAACTATTTAAAAACTCAAAGAACAAGAAGCTCTAATAAATATTTATCTTGCATGTAATGAAATTGAAAAAGCTATTCTATCTCAATATATCTGATTTGAAGATACTGATGAATATGCGGAATTAATCCAATATACTGATCCTGAAAAAGTTTCACCCAATGAAATATTCCAACAAATTTTTTTTTTCAACAAATCTTATTAGAACATCATATATAACTCACTAAGCTTGAATATATCAATATTAAACTATATGTTATTTGACATAAACAAACTTAATGCTTCACTTTATTTAGCAATTATGTGCTTTATTTTATGCAGTAAGAATGATTAAATTATATTTTACATGGACAATGATTAAAAAACGCAATAAATACACAAGCGTGGTTTTTAACAGGTTTAATATGATGGTAGTGGTAGATTTAACAATACTTATGATGTTTGCGGCAAAATACATGTATAATGTAAATAAAGTTTCACGTGAAGTTTGAAATGTCACAAGGATTCTTGTCACACTAACATGATAAAAAACCACGTGATCGGAAAAACACACCTACATCCTGGCCCTTTCATATATATTATATAAATTTTACATGAATAATAAGTTTCGATTTAATTTTAAAACGTGTCCACAATATATTTAACATGCACAAAGATAATATCATAAAAAGCTGGATTATTATGACTTGCCGATTTGGAAAGCAATGAGGTTACAATAAAGACAATAAATAAGTTTTTATGTATGATCTATTGTAAATATAATAATATATTGCATTTATGTGTGCAAAGTAATAATAAAAATAAAATTTTACCCGCGCGTCAACAGCTTGAGGAACAAATTTCCAGATCGGAAGAATTAAATTTATAATCCAAAAACGCAGACCAAAAATTCTTTTTTTTTATCAGTTATTATAATGTTTACAAAAATCGCATAATAGTATGATATCGCGTTCATATAATTCTCAGATTCTGTAGAATCTTTATAAGGATAGTTTTAAATCCCTTAGTTTACTTAGATACAGTAATGACAAAGATAATGTTACCAGTGAAAGGCTCCATGCACTCGAACGTGAAATTTGAAAAATTAAATCTAGTATTTTATTTCAGTAAATTCAAAAGATAAGGTTCCATAAGAATAGTAAATTAGATCAAAATAGAATTAAAAAACTGGAACTAACATCTTGACTACCGGGTTATTTGCTATTTCAACTACAAGTATAGAGAACAGCTAATAGCCTAACAACGTCTCTATGATCAATATCATTATACATGCGCGAAGATAATCAAAAGTGAATTGATTCACTTCGATATCCTTGTCAAGATACACTTTCTTATTTATTAATTATATTTGTTATTTCGTTGAATATTTTGTTATACACGGTTAGGGCTCGATTTAACGACTATGCGATTTAATGAATCGCGAGTTGGCGACTCTTGTTTCCAGATCACTATATTAAAATTGCGCTCAATTTAGTGATGTCTATTAGCATTGTAACGATATCTTGAAATTTGATCGTGCCCTGACATTACAAAGGCAGGCTATTTCCACTGGACAAATTATGCAAGTATGATGCTCAGATTTACATATGTTTCGTAATTTTATGATTATACACTATTTAGGTATGGTATGTTTGAGCATTTTGGTATGGTATGGTAAAAAACTATACCAAAATGCTTAATATATCAAATCAAATTATTTATAAACTATCCTCTGAATTCATACTTAACCATACCAAAATGCTCAATCATACCATACTTAGATAGGTATCACTCTAATTTTATTGGTCAAGTAGCCATATACGTCACACATGCGGTACGAACATGTACGTACATGTATTTGCTAAATTTGCAGTAATGAATACAGTCTGCAATGCACTATCGGCATTCCCCATCTCTCACATTTTCAACACGAACGAATCGATAAATGAGACTAAATCAAAAAGTATAAGTGCTTATAAGTGGTTTACTTACCCGCCTCATCCAGTATTGCGTGCGAAATTATCAGAATCACGAAAAAATATAATGAAATTTCCTGACCTCAAGGTCATGTTCACTTTATAAATACGGACCGGTTTTTTTGACACTAACTATAATTTCGTTCACTTTCTACTTTCTTCCAAAGAGTCGTATCATACATAACAGCTTTGAGTAGATGGCTCCTAATTTCTCTATTTTGGCTTGCACTGATATTTTTTGTTTCTGCACTTGGTAATAAGATTGCGGTACAAATTAAGGAAATATCAGCATTTGGCAAAGTGGACGTTGATGGGTCGAGTTTGAAATGGTCGAATCTTGTTGAGGATTTTCGGTATTCAATTTCTTCAATAAATACAGGAAGCCATGAAAGCATACCTTATGCATATGATAGTAACTTCCTGTTAAAAATTACAGTTGCATGGTAATTTATTAATTGGCAATTATATGGTGATAGTAGTTTCCTAAATTACAGTTGTATGAGTTCTATGATAATTTCTTAAATTACAGTTGTATGGGTTCTATATTAATTGCCAATTACATGTATATGATAATAGTAGTTTCCTAAATTACAGTTGTATGAATTCTAAGGTAACTTCCCAAATTACGGTTGTATGGGTTCTATGGTAATTTCCTAAACGATAATTGTTTAGTTGACAAAGAAATTATTTCTAAGGTATTATTACACGAGGATGAATAGGCTTTTGTCCGACACAGCCTTTAGTAGAGATAATAAGACTAGTTAAATTCAATATAAAAAGAGACCCTCGCCTCACACTATCAAACAAGCTAAAGGATTCATATTATTGAAAGCAAATTGCGAAACAAGATGAAGCTCCAAACCATTATTTTATTTCTAGCTGCGGGTTTGGCTTTCGCGATTTATGTTCAAGCATGCACCATTTGTAAGATCCTGTGCATTCGATTAATTTGTTAATATATAAAACTCTTTCGTAATGTCATTTTCATTTTCTTTAGATATCGATCAAGACGGTTCCTATACCCAGAAAATTATTCGTCCAGAAAGTTCGTGTGTTAATGTTGACCCGACCAAAACTATACGTAGAATTTGGTCCGATCCTTGCTGTGCTTGCTACACTTCTTACTCTGACTATGACTGCAAAGGAAATGCATTTTTTATTGCCTGTGGTGAAAGCAATCTGAATATAAAAGCTTCGTCAATCAGAGTAAGGTGCAATGAGTTGCAGGCGCCCTAATAGTCAAAAAGTATTACCATGTACATGATGCGGTAGCTTCCTAACTCAGTCTAGTAAAATAAGCCGAATATGGCGAAAACATTATTATTTTTAGTTATGCAAGTTAAAACTAGTGATAAACATATAGTCCATATGCTAAATTCTATTGGACTGGTCTAAATTGTACTTATAAAATTTATAAGTTCAATGGTTGTGAACTAAGTCCAGTAGAGTCCAGTTGACGATCCTATCTATAACTGACTAGCCTTATTTGTTAGACAAATTTCATTAGCCTGAGAATTTCGTATCAGCATGTATTTATGGGTTATTTGGCACAGATACACACAAAAAATTGTAAAGAGTAGATGATAACTTTTAAAAAATCAAATTACCAGCAGTTTGAGATGAGAATAAATTGCTTGTGCCGACAAGAATGCATATTCTTAATAAATTAGTCTGTCGAAAGTTATTGTATCATTATTTTATCATTATTGAATAACATAGAAAACAATGATTTGCCTAATTATAACATACTGTTACTACATGTGATTTACAAAAGCTAGTTATGTTCACAAATCCGTCATTGTCAACGCAGTATTCATCATTTTTTATCACTGGTTCGCCTGGGCAAAAATCTATGTAAAAATATGGGTAATATCATGAGGTTTATACTGATGAATCCAAAGGCAAAAATATGTGTTAAGTTTTCAAAAAGTTGCAATGCAATACCTGTTCTTTCGACCAAATAAAAAATGTGCTAACCAATCAGAGGACAAGAAATTCACGTGAAAATCTTGACTAACCAATCGATCACTGATCCAAATGTTTTCATGTTGAATAAAAACCAAAATTGACAAATCATCAATAACTCGACTTTTTATAGGCTGAGTGACTAAGAAAAAATACTCAGCATGCAATTTTGAATATATATTCATGATCAATTCGTATAGTTTACCAAGCACGTAAAGGTTACAAAGGCCAGTCCTCTTATCGACTTCAGATTGCAGTGTAACCATAACAACCACATGTAAAAGAGAAAATTAATATGATTATTATTGGCTTAAATTATGATACAACACACCATAATTTATAATACATGTACGTAATTTAAAGATTAAGGAATTACAAAATTTTTGTTGAAAATGGTAACATTATACGTACAGTGTACATGTACATGTATATTGATACATGTATTAAAATCGAAATCTGTTTGCACCACAAAAGAAAAAAATATGTAGTACATGTATTGAGTCCGACTTTATCTTCATTTGGAACATACAAACTGATATTTATAGAACCTAAGTATTCGAATTAATATGAAATGTCAAATGAATTTTATTTTGAAAGGAAATGTATCTGTATCATTTGACCTTTTACAGTTCTGATTAAAGTTAATAAAGATAACGGTTTGGAAAAGATTAGTAAAATTTTGCTTGAAATTAAAATTAGTTCTCAAGGTAAAGATTCGACTGGTATAAACTGCGTTTAGGTGGATTTTTTGTTTTATACGGATGCTTTTTGGCGATCTCATCTCATTAAGTACATCAATTTCTTTTCTTTCCAGTTTAAGACACACTTTAATTCTTCACTCGATTTTGGATATTTTAAAGAGCTATAGTATTGCAAATGAATAATACGCGTATATATATCTAAGTGAGTTGATAAATTCTTGAAGTTCCGAAATAGTTGGCCTGTTTTTTGGAATAAAATCCTAACATTTTTCAATAATGAATTCGTACTATCCAAGAATATTATCATAGGCTGTACTCCATTATAGATGTCGCATACAAGGTGTATATCATGATTCGCTCACCGAATGGTTGTTCATCTAGTATTAATATATTTCCAGGGTGAAAGTCACGATACACAAATTCCTCATTGTGAATTTTATTCAACCCTCTACAAAGATCTAGAGCAGTCTGAATCTAATTTTGAAAGTTAATTATATTATCGTTAAAGTATTATCACTATTAATTAGTCAAATTTAATTATTGATAATTATGAATCGTCAAAAAGGAACTTCACCACCCATCGTAGAAGGATTCCAAATGAAACAATGCTATTATATTCGTTTAAAAACGTGTGTAATAGTTATAAGCATTTTGCGAATGGCAAGTTATTAATAAAAACATTTATTTTATTTTACTTTATATTCATTTATTGATATGGATATCATTTTTATAATTCAATAAGATTAATGGAATTTATCAAACTAATATGGTGCATAACATCTAAAGTCATCAAACATTTGTATTTTATTAAATGTATAAACTTTTCAACTAAGAAGTAAATACAAAATTTAATCCGTGAATATGATAGAATAGTCCTTTTCTGAGCATGTTCACAGATTAAATTTTGTATTTGCTTCTTAGTTGAGAAGTTTATACATTTTATAAAATATAAACGTTTGATGACTTTGGTCTTGATAATTATCAATTAAGAAATACTTGTAAGTTTTTAAATTCAAAATACGACTCAAAATTTGGTTGTTTTTTAATTTTTCTAAATTGATTATATTTTTGATAGTTTGGCAATTTATGGGATCCTGGAGTAAAATTCTCGAATATTTTGTTGCAATTGGTGCAATCTATGTATTAACAGGGCTAAACGAAGTAAGGTTTTCTGTAAAACATACATGTAATTAAGAGAAACATATAAAATTTATTGATATTATTGAGAATTACCGGCATAGTAGCAATTGTCATTCTAAAGCAACAGCTTCTCGATTATTGTACATCGTTTTCATGTACCCTGGGTTATAAATTTCAATGGCAATATATGGTTACTACGCCTTGGGTTATAAATTTCTTTAGCAATATATGATTACTGTGATTATTGAGATATTAATTTTATTAAGCAAATATAGCATATTATTTTCGTTAGAATGTTTATTTTTTTAATTTCTTGTCTTTTTTGAAAGATATATTTTCACTAATGGTTCTCGCGTACAGAAATAGAAGCGTCCGTCTTTAAGAACGACTCAGAATGAAGAGTCGTTAAATGAAGTTGTCACATAATGAGAGAAACGGCAAATTATAATCAGTTGAAAGAAATTAAGTGTTCGGCGGCGATCGGAAAAATTATATCGTTATACATGTATATGTACTTCATGCCCAGCTTTCTGGTTAGTTTTTATTATCAACTTTCGGGGTTACATATTCGCAAAATTTAAAGGTGAAACTTTGAATACCCATATTTTCACAATCAAGCATTCAAATTCTTCGAACTTTTTATTAGAATCATCTTGTCAGTTGATTTTTTTTAAACAATCATTTTATAGTATGCTTCTTTTTTTTAAGTGCTTATTCTTTTGGAAGTGCTTCATCATGAATTTGTAGAAAACACTCGACTGGTGTAAATTGCATTGAATTTGTTGTTTTTTGTTCGTATTCATCTCCTCATCAAGTTTATCTAATCTCTGCTTCTCTAATTTAAATTTCTTCACGCATTTTGGATATCTTAAAAGGTTGCAGTACTGAAAGTGCAAAGTATTCAGTTGTAGCCTCTTAATGAAACTGTTAATATTGTAGATAGAGTTGATAAAGTCGTAAAGTTCATCAGCAGATGGTCTGTTTTCTGGAAAAAAGATCCCAACCTTTTCGTTAATAAATTTTGCATCATCTGAAAATATTATTTGGCCGCATATATCATGACTACGTTCACCAAATGGTCGTTCACTTGTGACAACCTCGTACACAATCATCCCAAAACTAGAAATATTTGCAGCTTTAGTGTATGGCTTTCCATTTAGTAGTATATGGAAGTACTTCAGAAATTTCTCGCTCAGATTTTCTATATCTGTAGACAACATATAGTAAGTAATATAAATTTATTAGTATATTTCCAGTGTGAAAGTCACGATTTCACGTAAACTATTAACTAATGAACCCAATTCATTTATTGTAGTTGGAATTATGTATTATACTTACTTGCATAATTCATTATTGTTATCGAAGATTCATTTGTAGCAGGGGTACTTAGTTATTCCGTAATTGAAGCATTTTAGAGCAGAATCTATCTTTGAAAAATTTCTAAGATGCTTCTAATTCAAACAACTTTTTCGTTTATAAACTCCGACATAATTTACTCGAATCATTCGATTCATGGTCTACTCGTACGTATTTGTGAAAAATGCTTTGTAAAATTGTTCCACCTCCATTTACGAGTATTTACAAATGGCAAATCTTTCAAATGGAACCCATTTAAAGTTAATTCTTAGACTGTCGATCTCT